AGCATACATAGGCACATGTTTCTCGATTGGCAAAGAGGATGAGCAAACTAGATCTCTTTAACAAACACAAAAACGCCATGCATCTCGGGTACTTAAGGAGCATGTGGTTGTCTTCTTCAAGCGTCAACTTGAAACAGAGATAAGAATGGTACCGTGAGCTGATGGTGTCTTTCAGGTGGCATGACAGACGAAAGCTCCACATGCGTTCACCGGAACACGATGGTGCGGTAGAGCCAAATAACCGTTTACCGAGAACATTTCATCAGCGTGCTCCGGTAAGATTGATCGACCACTTTAGGAACAAGTCCTCTTCTGTATCTGCATTATGCCCAAAAGTGGGCCTCTGCAGTTCGCCCACTTCCGAGCATGCACGACGAGACCAAACACTTTCGTCGAATTGACGCCCGAGGATGCAATCGAGCAAAGCAGAGGTCACGGAAAGTTCAGCTACGACGCGTCGACCGATGGGACGTCTTTTTCTGGCAATGTTCTGTTGAATGGCTTCCGATGCCGAATGACCGAGGTCAACATGTGACGCATCTTCAGAACGTTTTTGTGAGATTCGCATACATTTTCCTATTCTACCTCGATGTCCATCTCGCCGACGAACTGCCATTTATGCCCAGCCGATGAAGCGAACTGGAGACGAGGCTACTGACAGTCCCATCTATTTTGTTGAGCTTACTTCCATTTCGTGTAAAAATGTTGGGTGAAGAGATTCGAAGGTTGGTGCCATCAGAAGAGGATGGTGGATTCCTCTTGACCAGCTGTCGATTAGCTTTACTTGAAGATTCATGCTGACGCTGTTTCCGAGGCAGTCTCCTTCGATTCCGGTGAAAAGATGCTAAGCTTTCGTCCCTCATATGACGAGCATCATCAGAGCAAGGTATCATCGCCACAAAAAAATTCAAGCTAACGAGTCAGCAACACTCATACATACACATACAATGATAGACACTCACAGGATTTGAAGTTGACATATGACCGTAACTAACCAAATCACTTTGTACCTCATCAAAGAGGCCAGATCTAGACTATATATACCACTTTTAATGGGATTTTTCGGTGAGTTTTCTTGACTCGTTAGCTTTAATTTTGTTTTCACGATAGTACCTCGCTCTGATGATGTCCGTCATATGACGGACAAAAGCTTAGCATCTTTTCACCGGACTCGAAGGAGATTGCCTCGGAAACAGCGTCAGCATGAAATCTCTTCACACAACACTTTCACTCGAAATGGAAGTAAGCTCAACAATTGGTTTGAGTAGCAGATCGAGAAAATGCTGTCTGGCTCGTAGGTTCACTTGGCTTG